CCATTTTAATTTCTCTTTTTAAAACCCTCCTCGATTTGAGACTGGAGTCACACGAGTGTTCCTCCAATTCACTCAAACCAAGGCTCTGATACCAACTTGTAAAGACCAAAATTTCAACATAATTTAAGCTTTTCGAAAACATCTCAATTCATTAAGTTAATACAAAAAGGTTTTCAATACATTTATTATCAGAGTATTCCCAGGTGCATATCATAAAACATAAACACGAGGAGCGGTACGATCACGCCTTTGCCTTGCCACGGTCTCCTGAAGAACCTGAAAAACATTAAACCACAACTGTAAGCCCGAAAGCTTAGTGAGATACCCCCAAAATACCAACCACACATACGCCTTTCCGGGCTACGACCTTCCGGTCCAAAACATATTGTCTTCCGGCCCATAGCATAAAAAGCATACATAACATAACATAACATAGAACAACCATTCATATCGGGTCTACTGTGTGACTGGTACGCCGTATTGGGCCTTTAGTCCACCGGGTCCACCCTCCGAGTCTAGTCATGTCCTTCGAGTCTACATTGTGGTTGGTCCGCCCGCACCGAGCCTTCAACCCACCTGGTCCACTCTCTGAGTCTACAGTATGATTGGTCCGCCCGCATCGGGCCTTCAGTCGGTCTAGTCCACTCTCCGAGCCTCGGCACGTCTGGTCCGCCCTCGTGGGGCCTACAGCCTATCCAGACCGCTCGCTGGGCCTTCGGAACAACCGTTCCGCCCTGGGTATCTTGGTCTACAGCACAAAGCAAGACCTGCCTCAACCCAACTCCAGTCCAAACAACCATGTGCACATAACATACAATCATATAACAGTTCATAGTAAACAAACCGATCAAGCAGATCACATAACATATCATTACCCTAACCAGGTTACTGACCTAACCAGTCACTAGCATAGCATCACTCTACATATCGGGAAACTGACCTTAACCAGGTCTCTAGCATATACCATCCTAGCTACCAGGAGGTAGACATATCAAAGTAATAACGTAACAACGGTATCCAAATCTCAATCCAATAAAGAGCCGGCCTTGGTGCCTTAGACCCTATCGATATAGTGAGGATAACTCACCTCGCGAATGCCGATACTCTGAACTGAAGAAACAGGCTCTCGAACCACCAACTCACCACAAATCCCGAACTAACCAACATAACAAAATAAGCATTAGGTCAATCATACTTCCACTTATCGGGCCAAGACCAAAGTCCAATTCTCATAAAAAGTCCAACATTGGCCCAATTTACCAAATTGGGCCCACTTCACCAAATGAGCCTAGAACCAATGTCCATAACAATAATTGGGCCCAAAATACTCTATCCATAAATTCCCAGACTTGGCCCAATAACCAATTATCCATCAACGGCCCAAACTCAAAGCCCAAAAATGAAAGTCCAATAGGAGGAGTACGCTGGGCGTACCCTCCTTGGTACGCTGGGCGTACTTCAATGAAACGCAAATGAGGATCGGGGCTTTGGCCCGCTACGCGGGGCGTACTCAGAGGTTACGCGGGGCGTAACTGCAATGCTCATTAAGTCCTTTTAACCTCTTAATGGCTTAAGCTATTAAGCCCAAACTTCAGATCCATAGGCCAAATATGATTAGAATTCATAAAGTCTCAGACTTTATCACTTGGGACGTCCTTAAGCTCTTAATCCATTAAGACCTATATATCTCATACATGGAACAACTACAGCCCTTGGGACCTCACTTTTATCACTCAAGACCTCTCCAAAGGTCTGAAAGGACAGATAATCTTGACCAAATCGAAATATGCAACAAGGTGAGGACTTTTGGGACAAGAATGGTGACAAAGCTTCAAAATACATAGATCTATGCAATATGAAGGTCAAGCAAGAAGCTTTATACCTCAAACAAGCTCCAAAGGATGGTATCTCTTCAGATCTACAAGCTCCACACGTTCTTCTTCTTCTTTGACAACTTCCCTTTTCTCCTTCAAGCCTTTCTTTTGCCAACAAGAGCTTTCCAAGGTCAAACACACCTAAATATGGAGAGAATACGAGATCTAGGGTTTCTCTGAGGTTGAGGATGAGCATAAGGAGGCTAAAAGGTGAACCAACATGTCCTTATATAGTGGCTGACCCTAAAATAGGGTTTGGGGTTTCTGAGAGTACGCTGGGCGTACTCACCTGGCCACCCGCAACTTTTCACCCCTTTACGCTGGGCGTACCCAGCCAGACTTCACCAATAATTGCATGCATGCCATGCATGCATGGGACCCTTTATCCACTTATACCACAAAGAGCTATAAACAATGATCAACTTCAAAACACCGCAACTCCTCTAATCTAAACCCGCTCCCAAATAACTTTACATTCATACTGGGGTGACGAGAAGCCCAAATGCTTCTAACACATACACCAGCCCGAAACCTTCTCGGATGAAACTCATTTCTCGCAAAAGGACCAGAATTACCCTTCCTCTTAAATCTCAGGGACTCATAATTAAACACTTAAAGAACGCGGTGTTACATGATATTTTCTCAAAACGTGACGTCTAATACAAACGTTGAACTCATGTCAAGTTTTTTAGAACCATGCACACAAATCCAATAGTGTCGTACAAAATATTTATAGTTAAATATAAAAGAAAAATGAAGAATTTCGTATATTCTCTTGCTAAACATCAAAATATCGTATATACCCGGCCTAAACTTTATATCGTATTTTCCCTTCTCAATGTCTTTTAATATCGTATATACCAAAATCTATTTTTTGATAATTTTTATTGATTTATAGTTCTTTTTCATAATCTTAAATCATTATAATTAAAAAAAAACATTTTGAATGGATATTATTGCCCTTGGTGCTCACGTTGCCCAGTCCATCACACCATGTTCCAATCAACCTGTTGATACTTGCAAGATCAGCGATCGAAATATAAACAAGAGCATGGTCGATTCTGATGGACTGACCGTAATAAGCACAAGGGCAAGATTCCATTCAAAATGGTTTTCTAATTATAGTGATTTAAGATTATGAAAAATAATTATAAATCAATAAAATTTATCAAAAAAAAGATTTAGGTATATATGATATTAAAAATTGAGAATGATAAATACGATATTTAGAATTTAGGCCGGATATATACAATATTTAGATGCTTAGTAATGGCATATACAAAATTCACACCACTTCGCATGAAACCACAAAACCTTACACAACATAAAATGTTCTTCTACAAAAAAAAATATAGTTGTGACTCGTTACTCATAAATGTGGATTTTTCTACTTGTGACTTAAAATATGGAGTTTTTTTTTCTCTAGATTGCTTTAATATTTATTTTTTCTACTTGCCTTGAAATGTAGATTGCTTTAATATTTATCAAAGAAAACCCCCTAAGAAGCATCATATCATAAAAAATAGTGCTCTCTCTCTCTCTCTCTCTCTCTCTCTCTCTCTCTCTCTCTCTCTCTCTCTCTCTCTCTCTCTCTCTCTCTCTCTCTCAGTTTCATTTGTCGGAAGGTTATCACGAGTGTCATGGACTCATGGTTTCCTCCGACCCAACAGAAAGGTTATTACTTGCTGGATAACCTAATTATCCACAAGACATATAACTCTTACTTTGTATTGTTCCCTTAATATCAACATTAGGTCCAAAAGCAAAGTTATCAACATATGACTCTTGCCCTACCAATGAATCACAAAATTACCCAAATGACACATGACGCATCAGGGCCACAGCCCACAAGTCAAGTTGAGTTAGTAGGAGTCACACAACGAGTCGCGAGTTAAACAATGAGTCACACCTAATTCTCAGTCGTATCACTGGTCGCCTCTTTTAAGGTTCAAAATGATTCGATTAGTATGAGTTGACACATGATTCTTTGACAACTATGCAAATAATCCTAAAAGGAAACAACGGTGTTTTCGAGCTTATACACCTTTTATTCTTTGTTTATTAAAAGTTAATACAAATTAAAAATATCAAAAAGCTTTAAAATATGAACTTAATTGTCTATTAATCATATGATTAACATTCAATGTGTAATACTATGGCTTATACTGCTACCTGATGATTTATTCGTATTCCTGTGTTATCGATTATATACATGTTGGAATTCTAGAATTTGTGGATCTCTTCTGAAATGATGTATATAGCCAATGTGAGTTCATTATATAAATAAAATCAATGTTTTACTTGAGGTCCATTTAATAAATCCGATTATGTTAACCTGAAAAGTCAATTTCATTATCCTACATAACATTTACCAAATGTTGTGCAACTGTTCTATTTGTCCCGTTGTTCCAACGTCTATGGCATGGGTTGAAAAGTGTTTACTTACATTGTGTTTGAATGGCCTTTATATACTCCTTTTCCAACGCACTTCCAATTCGTTAGAAAGAAATCTCTCATTTCCAGTTAAACTGTGATGTGCTTGACAAGCCTTCATTACACTCCTTCCTCAACACACTTTCAATTCGTTTGAAAGAAATCACTACATATGCTACTCCTAAATTTACAACTTTAGTCTCAACCTTTGACTGAAGGATAAGCCCTTTGGGCTCTGAACCATTAATCATTTCTAGACTTTAAAAAAATGTTTGTTTGTCAAGAGTAAGCAAATATCTTGAAAGCTACTTCACATGATTTGTTAATACAAAGAATAAGTAACCTGAACTTGCTACAAGACTTTAACTTATGCCATGCATTTTATTTGCAAGTTAGTAATCTAACTCATGTGTTTATGTATAGAAAATACGGGTTATCATCAATATAGAGTACATTGTTGATTCTGTTTTTGCCACACATTATAACATAGCCCAAATGTTATGTCATACATTTTATTGTTTAAACTCCCGCTCATTTAACACAAAAAACGTGAAATAGAATGCCATAGTGTAAACATTCAAAACATTGTCTTCATTGACACTAAGTTTGGTCCAAATATTTAATGTTGGTGGATAAAACAAAACCTATTAAACTACATAATTCAGATAAAAAAAAAAAAAAAAAAAACAATACATGAAAACCCAATTCAAAACTTGCATTCTACAATATGATGAAACAATATTACCTCTCTCTCTCACTCTTCAAGTTACATGGTAAGCAATCTCATTTCACTGGCTCTCTGATTTGGATAGATGTTCTTGACAAGCTTGCTTCAAGCTCATTCAACTCATCCATATCCAGATCATCATCATCATCATCATCATCCTCATCATCATCATCATGAATCTGGGAATTGCCTTCTTCTGAAACAGCAATGACACTTGTTGATGTGCTAGGTCCACCTGTCGACGAGTTATCTTGTGCCTGAAATTAAAATGAAACCCAAAATTAAGCCTTTGTGGTAGGACTTGTAATATGTATATAACAACTACATTTTTTTTTTATCATTAAAACAACTAATTTTTCTGGAAACATAATGTCCAAATAGTATAAGAATTTCATATAATACCTTCTGAGTGGTATTATCAGGTTCTTCTTCTCTGTGGTACTTCTCATATGCCTCAGCATCATCCACAAACAAACTAGCATCAGAAAGAAACAGCTCTCGCCCACTGCAAAACCAACAACAAAATGATTATTTTTAAGAAATGTTTTTTAAAAAAAGTCAAAATGTATGCATTAAGAAAAAACAAAAAAACCTCATTCGATCATTCTTAGCCCTCTCTGCTCTTTGAGCAGCCAATCCAGCTTCTTTTTCATCCATCTTCATCTTCTTCCAATCCATAAACAGATCAGTAGTCATTGGAGTTGTTGTTTTCACTTTTGCACGCTGAGGGAATAAGATAAATCAGGTGAAGGGTATAACTGTAAACAAAGAAAAACAACTGCTTTGGTGAAAAAGATGGAATTTTTACCTGATCTTCAATCTCATCCTCAATAGCTAGCTTGTTAGCTTCTTCTTCTAAAAGAGCCTTCATTTGGGACTTCAAGATGTATCCAGGAGGGAGAGCATGTCTGTAATGACACTCTTTATTACCATTTGGACAAACCCAAAACCAACCATATTGCTTTCTCTCCACTGCATCAAGAAAGTGTTTGCAAACCTGTTCCAAATGTGTTTTAAATCAACATATATTCAATGGTAATATAGATTTATGGAAAATGTTTAACAAGTTAAAGAAGCATACAATGTCAGTTGGTTTATTCTGGTTGTACTCTTTTCCTTTCGATTCAATAACTTTTTCCAACATCTCTTGATCCCATTCCTCCATTGTGTCTAAGATTCCACAAGAACAAATTAGTTATACTCCATATCAAATCACAATAGGAAAAGAAGGAAAAGAATAAGCAATCAAATAGTTGAAAAGAACAACCTTCATCACGCTTATCACTGAAGATATCAATCTTCTCACCCTTCCTTTGTATATTCAGATCATGAGAGAACTTGCATTTGAAACCTTTTGCACATTGACCAGCTTTGAAAAACTCACACAATATAGACTTTGGATCCACACCTGATGAAGAGCACATTTAATGAGATGAAAAACTATATTAGCAAATATAACTTTAATTGACGAACATGTTTCTCATATGCTTCCAATTTGTATCGCCCGTATTAGAATCCAGATAGGTTAATATCAAGCGAAATCATATATTTACAGAGCAATACGTGAAGATTCAGGTTTCTCAAGATAAAATCCAATAAAATGAAAATCAATACAAGACCTACCAGGAGGTACTTTAGGTTGAACAACAGCAATCTTAAACAAATCATTCAATTCCTTCTCTCTAGCTTTCTCTTCATCCTTCTTTTTCTGATAATCAAAAAACTCAAACTTAATACAAGAACCACTGAAATGAAACAGCTTACTAAAATTACGAAACCCTATCGATAGATACCTTAGCAGCGAGTTTGGACGGATCGGGTTTGGGTACAGCATTCAGCTGAAGTGCCTGCACATATTTTTGAACATTTTTGCTCTTGTTCTTGTTCTTAAGCCCAAATGTCTTGTCTTCTACTACTTTCTGCTTCTTTGCTACCTCCGCTTTCGATTGTTTCGGAGGCATCCTCCAAGCTGAATTCAAATTCAAATCTTGTGTATCTTAATTAAGAGTTGGTTATCGAGCCAAGTAGATCGACAGATAATCGATTGATCGAACGATTGAATATCCGATGAATAGATTTACTGATTAGGGTTTTGTGAGTTGCCTCCTAGCAGAAGAAGTATAACAGGATTGGACACCTCTGCCGAAAGGCTTGTTTTAAGTTCCAAGGGTTAACGATGTCAACAACATCAAAGGATATAATTGTCGTTTCACTTATTTACATGCGATTTTTTTTTTTTTTTTTTTCTTGGTAAAGTTCGGATATTTTAAAATAAATAATAAATTTATTTTAAAAAACAATACGAAGAAAAGACACAATCTCACAAAAAAAAAAACAATATAAAAAAATACAACCTAAATATTGAACAACCAAAATATAAGGTTTATATAAAAAGGGTAAGATGGTAATTTTAGATACTCTATTGTTAGACTTAACTGTAATATTGGATGGAAAAGTTTTAGTGACCTAATTGTAAATGGAAGAAAGTATAGTGGCCCATTTTAGAAGATTAGTTCATAGTCACTACTCACTATCGTGAACGCAGAACCAACAGTTTCTGCAACACTGCCTTCGTTGAAGTTCGAATACAATATGAAACTCCGTACCATTTCTAGGGTTGTACAGGGAAGAAACAGATATTCATCAACTCAATTTTACATTTATCGTGTTTCAGCTCAGCTTCATTCAATACCTAAAAGGTTCATCGATTAATCCATAGCAATTCGTTTTGTATAGTTATTATTTCTGTAATCTGTGATTTTTATGTTATAATTAATTCTATTTTGATTGTGAAAGACATTCTTTTGGCATTGCATTTGATATTGATGGTGTTATACTTCGTGGACGTACTCCAATTGGAGATTCTCCTAAAGCTTTGAGGAGATTATACGATGATTCTGGTAATATTTTAGTTTGTATGGTATATATTGTTCTCAGATGGTTTTTTGAGGTCTTCGATTTTCCTCAATACTTGCGGATTTCAAGGCAATGTATATTCCACATTAATTAAATACCTTTAAACTCTTTTCTCTTCCATAAATGTTCAGAAAATCCATCATATGGTTCTCTCTACCACTTGACCAGATGCTTTTGAGGTCTTAGTGGTTTTCATACATTCTCTCTACCATTTGCTTGATGATCCAGAATGATCATGACTTACTGATCAGTATTTGCCTTGACCTAAAATTGGATATTCATCTCACTTCCTCTCTCTGCAGGATGTCTGAAGATCCCATATCTGTTTCTGACAAATGGTAAGTACATTGGAGGACTTGATCCTTGTTTAGTGGAATAATTATGCTTACATATGACTAAAGCATTTGTCCCATTCATATGTAACAGGAGGAGGCATCCCTGAATCTAGAAGAGCCTCTGAGTTGAGTCAACTCCTTGGAGTGAATATCGACCCTATTCAGGTAATACCAAATATATACAATACTATTATGATATCATCATAATCAACTTCATCCATTCTGCTAATTAGTTAATTCTTACACCATGACATGAATGTCCAACTTATGCAGGTATTACAGGGTCACTCACCTTTCAAAAACTTGCTGAAGAGGTACCTCTATGATTTCTATCATGTCCTACATGAAATTTGTATTCTGGTTTAATGATGTTAACAAAGTGTTGTAACATTATATTTCTTTTAGGTTTGAAAATGAATTAATTGTTGCCACTGGAAAAGGGGAGCCTGCAGTGGTGATGTCTGAATACGGTTTCAAGTGCGTGCTATTAATCTCCATGGAAAGTAGCATTCCATATTCATCATTCACAAAACTTATTGTCTTAGTTTTTTAGTTTCAATTAATCTACAGAAAAGCCATCTCATTAGAAGAATATGCATCTCACTTCAATAACATTGATCCTCTATCACCTTACAAAACATGGACCACAAAGCAGCCATGCAATGAGCAAAAAAACTCCAGTGAATCAGTCCAAAGTTTTGATGTCACTTCTGAAAGAGTTAAAGCAGCTTTTGTTGTTAGTGACCCTGTTGACTGGAGTAGAGATATTCAGGTAGCTGTTGTTTTATTTAAAAAAAAAAAAAAAAAAAAAAACTTTTTGCTTTCGAATTTATTCTTGTAACATAATTTTTGTAGGTTCTTTGTGACATATTGAGATCGGGTGGTTTGCCTGGAGAGAAGTGTGAGCATCAACCACCTATGTATTTTGCAGCTGATGATCTTGAATATCAGGTCATTTATTACAATAGCATATTATTTTTTAAGATTAATTGGAATAATGCACTGAAGATCTTAAAGGTGAGAACAGGCTGTATTTCCTTGTGAACGTCTTGGCATGGGGGCTTTCAGGATTGCTCTAGAAAGCATCTTTAACAGGTATTATTAAATAAATAATAATCAATAAAATTAAATTAATGTTTATTGTAATGTCTTTTCACTTGGATCAAGATTTATGTTTGTATGAACATTGATGCAGGATTCACCACAAGCCATTGGAGTATACCTCATTTGGAAAACCAAATCCGGAAGTGTTCAAGAATGCAGAGTCCATATTGAAGCAACTTCTTAATGAAGATCACAAAGACATAATAAATAATTCACACCATTTTGAAACCCTGTACATGATTGGGGACAATCCTTCGGTTGATGTCAAGGGCGCAAGACAGGTTTGTTTTTATTATTTTTGAATTTTTATTAAATTGAATTGTAGTCTTATATAAAAATTCATTTTCCCTTTTTTTTAATATATATTTCAGGCCGGACATCCATGGTTTTCTATATTGACAAGGACAGGTGTTTTTAGAGGAAAAGAGAACCACACGGATTATCCTGCTGATCGGGTAAGTCAGAGTTGAGATAATTTATGATCTTTTTAAAAAAAAAATTATTTAAATTTTGATGTTTAAAAGTATTTAATGATGCTTAAAACATGAAGTAATTGGGTATTACAGGTTATTGATACAGTAGAAGAGGCTGTGGAATATATATTGCAAAGAGAGGCTATATAATGCTTAGCAAAAACACATTTTTTTTATCCATGAGCTCCGCTACAGAAAGAAGGCTCTAGGATTTTGACTATTTTAAATTTCAAAAAGAAAGTATCTCATGTTTTTTTATACTTTTTTTTTTCAATTTCCTGCTGAAGTGGTAGTAATAGCCAATCCCTGGGTTTTGTGTAAGAATGGCCCCAACAAGTCTACAATTATAAGGGAACCACGACTCTAGCATAAGCAACTCTATTAGTGTGACAACCCGAAATTTGGGTCTGAGTTTGTAGCGGCTAGCTCACTGCATACCCTTTTCGGTATCTCGACCGATCGAATTTTAATGCATATTTTAGTGAAAATATAAAGTTATTTTAAACACAAAAAGATATGAAATGATATCTTATCTCAAGTTATGAAAAATGTTGAACGAAACTTAAAGCACAAACTGTAACTCGAGTAACGATAGAAAAACTGAAATTTTGTTTTAAGTGTCTGTAAACGTAGAAAATATTCTATACTCGTAGTACATGTTCCCCTCACCGTGGAGATATAAATAACGCCCAAAACGGAGTTTATATGCGAAAGATATATGACCCTTTTAAGACAACAAACCGATATAACACTGACTTTACCAGATTTCATTAACTATATTGATCCATGGGGGCTCTTGCACACACCGGATATAAACTTTGAAAACATTTTTTTTTACTCAAACTACGGCCTAATATCTTGGTTATACTCGAAATATTTTTAGTAAAAAAAAAATATTTGTAGGAGTCATAAAAATTTGGCGTTTCAGACAATTAGACGCAAAACTTTAAATGCATCTTCCCTAAGTTCTACAACTCGAAAATATATATATATATATATATATATATATATATATATATATATATATATATATATATATATATATATATATATTTTTAGGGTTAATGAGTTAATACACCTTATATATATATATATATATATATATATATATATATATATATATATATATATATATATATATATATATATATATATCAAAGTAGCTCTGCAAAATGTACCCCCTTCTCTCTCATCTCTCACGTGACCCTCTTTGTTTCTCTCCCTCTCTCATGTCTCTATCTGTCGTACTCCATGCGTCTTGTCTGTAAATGAAAGTCAAACTTGTTCAATGAAGGAATGATCAGGGAATTAGTTTCTTCAATTACTAGAGAGAATCATGCAAATGAGTGAAAGAAAACTGGATTCTTGTCTCTTCTTGGAGCATCCCTAACGAGGATCACACAATCGTTCTTTTTGCTTTTTGTTGGGTTAAATAGAAAGCTTGAAAACTCACTCTCCCAAAAAACTCATCAGCTTTAACTTACCCTCTTACCCTCGACGAAGAACCTCTACCACCGGCGAGTGCTCTTTCCCCACCGTTACACCACCATAACACAACCTTAGCTCTTTTTTTACCCCCTGAAATTACCATCCCCTCCCTCCTTCTAGTCAACCCACTACTGGAAGAAGGAAGGACGAGGAAGCAACAACGCCATCACCCCCTGCTGCCATCTTCGACCCTCTGTTGCGACTACCTCCTCTCATCGTAAGCCTCCAACTCCTTATTCTTCTTATTTATTTATTATTGTGTATGGTTCGACTTCTAGCCAAGAAACAAAACTTCTCATTGTATATGGTTGTGTGCGTTACTTTCCCATGCACACCTTGTCGATCACATTACATCTTTAAAACTCTAACACACAAATCTTTTCTTTTGTTTTTCATTGTCTTCCTTCGATTTAGATTGCCTATGTTGTTCGATAAAAGCCCGGGTAAGAAAACCATACCTTCTGTTTGCCCATTCTGGGTACTAAATATAAACCCATATAAATATGATAGAAACCATTCACAGCAAGTTCTTGGTTTTGTTAGTCAAACCAAACTCCCATCTCAAATAAATAGCTTATACTCTTTTTTTTTTCTAATTATTTTACAAATCTAATCTCTTCGTTTACTTCTGTTAGTAAAATTTCATGCATTTTGCTCTGAAATAAGAAGCTATGTACTCTCTGTATTGTAAACCCACCAAAGAAAAATGATTCGCAGTAAACTTAAAAGCCCACACCTCAAACTTTCTTTCCATTTAATTAAGACAAACCTTGGAGTTATGTTAGTTTTCAACATTAAGTCCTTGTCCTCCCATTTTACTTTTGTGGGCCATATTTAACAGAAAAGAAAAAGACTCAAAACATAACTTACATTCCAAAATAATTATTTGAGCCCTCATTTGAAATTTATTACAAAAGTAGTCCCTTATCCATAACCATATTACAATTTATTTAATATGTACCATCACTTGGGATTAAGTTAACAAAACAGTCCCTTATTTAATATATTTTGGCAATACAGTCCCAGCTTTGGATCATTGATAGTTCGTGTTCTCGCGGTGTGTCCCAACTCAAATCTTGCGCTTATCTTACTCGAAATCACGCTACAAAAGTGAGTGTGACGGCCCTTTTTTATGTTTTATTATTTTGGGGGGAATACATGTGGAATATATATAAATATATTTTCCGGGTATGAAATGTGTTTATAAACATGCTAAATCTATATATCGGTTATGGAATACGCATATAAAAATATATCTAGTTTTAATACTTATTATTGTCAAAATAATGTATTATAAACCGATTTCTTTACAAAATACATGCGTTTAAAAATATTATTAGTCATGTGCATAAATTTTTACTTACATCGAGCATATACAAACATATTTATTAATTATATATGTAGCAATTATAACAATTATATTTTGGAAATCATTCATCCATGTGAAGAAACATTTTATCTATTTAAGCGAGTGGTATATATTTTTACAGATTTATCGAACTTATTCAGCTTTTATAGTGAAAGTTTACCGCATAACCTAGTTAATGGCCTTTATAGTGAGACAGAATTCATTACCTAAGTTTAACCACTTAGTATTCCCATTTAACTATAACCGTTAATCCTCGGAGCGAGATACGTATGTATAGATCTATACGGGTTGACACCCTCACCTGCGGTTGCTAGCTACAACCTCGACTGATCAATCGAAGCGGGTGAATATTTATCCTTGGTATAACTACGACGTCTAATGAAGCGTTGTGCAGGGATTATAACTGGTCACATAGCTCGGTTATAGGACTCACTAAAGGCATTAACCAGACTCTTTAACTAGAAACCACGAATTCGGTTTCTCTATTTATCCAGCATTTTATGTATGGACTTACTTATGGTTTAACTCTTTATCAAGTATTTAGTATGGATTACTTATGGTTTATATATTTATCAAACATTTTAAGTATGGATTTACTTATGGTTTATCTCTTAGCAAACATTTCAATCACGAATTTGTTTATGATTTCTTTCTTTATCAAACCTGGTTTTAAACACTAAAGAAATACTTTCTAGACTTATAAAGTGTCATTACTGCGGTTAGCAGAAAACCTGTAACTCTCACCAACCTTGTGTTGACCCTCAAATCACATGTATTCTCAGGAGATCAGTGAACCAGCCTTTAACAAAAGATTTGTTCATGGATTTTCAGGCAATCTAGTCTCATTTAGTTTTTGTTATGTTGGCCTACTTGTTAAGGCGAATTTATGAACCTATTAATATATGTATGAACCTTGTATTCGAACTTCAAACTTGAATGTAATTGCTATGTTGTTATTGTTGTAACTTGTGATGTATATTCAATTCGCTTGTGATCCATGAACTAAGTCGCACAGCCCGGTGTATTCCGCCACCTTGGCCGGGGGTGTGACAGATTGGTATCAGAGCTAAATTGGCTATAGAGAACTCGTATCCTCGAAAGAGGAAATACAACTATAGCTACAGGCTCCTAATAAAAGTATTATTAATAAATATACTACTTCTCGACTGCTCACGAGAGAGACAGTTGGTTTGAAAGGACGCTAGGGTTGCTGGACTTCAAAACGGATTAATTGCCACAATGGTCCTGGCCCCCGATGTTTTTTGTCTGACCCTCATATGTGCTTAGTAGTTTTGGAGTACAAACCAAAAATTTAATAATACTACAAACCTCACCAACGATAATATATAAGAGTTATATATATACTCTGACACGCGATGAGAACACTTAATAAAAATTCTGACATGCCTTCAACTAAAGCTACCAACTCAATCCTTTAGGTCAAAAGCCTCAACTAAGGTTAGTATCGTGCATAGGCCATACCATAAATAAACCTGGAACGCACGCCTATGTTATTTATGGTCGGGCTGGTGAACAACCAACCTTGAGCGACGAGTTTGACACACTACAATGGTTGAGAGTTTTAGAGATTAGAGGATGTTCTCAAGATGCGCTGCAGATACCTAATGGCTTAGAATCCCTCTACCAACTTTAAAACAATTACACAGTTAAAACTCATCTCTAAAATACCTTTTTTTTTTTAAAACCTCTTGATGCAGATGGCAGACAACCACCAGGATGGATGGACCCTGCAAATCATGAGGATCATCACGAGGCTCCTATGCAGTTGGTTGGGGACCCATATTTTCCTGAAGACGCCCCAGCTGACCCCGCCGAGGATGAAGATCCTTCAGAAGAGGAAGACCCTTCAGAGGAGGAAGACCCGTCAGAGGACGAGGATGATGATGTTGCAGAGTCCGATAATGAGGGTATATTGGAGGAGGTACAAGAAGAGATGAATGATGATGGCCCGGTGGAGGGTGGGGAGAGCCTCATAGATGAGGAGCCTACCCCGACTCCACCTCACTCACCACCTAGACCGTGTTATCAGCCACATCACCGCCACGGCAAGAGTCCTGTATTGAGGAGGACTCCTAGGATGAGTGTTCCCGCAGTGTCCCATCTAGACACCTTCTCCTACCTTTCCCGACCCATCTGTGGTCAGAAAAGGAAACTGAGTTCCCTCTTTGAGCCCGCTTGGCTCACCGACATTCTCCGCCAAAGGAGGATTACTAACGATCCTCCATGTTTTGAGAGAGGTGAGTCTTCTCGAGGACCACCACGTGCACCATTTGGGGGTGACCCTGAGGATCAGGATGACAGATTAGTGGAACGAGTCGAATCCCTAGAGGAACTTTTTAGAGCTTCAGGTAATACCACAAGAGCGATCGAGCGGCGAGTTGAGAGACTTGAGGATGAGGAGAAAGATGATGCAAAATCCATTCAAACAATCTATCACAACATGGGTGCCGGTCGAACTGAGGCAAAAACCATGGGTGCCCATATCAGGGCCCTAGAGTATCAGATTCATGTTATGCAGAGCCGACTAGATGCAACCGAGCACAGAGCGACCATTGCATCACAGGAGTGATGCCGACTTCAGGAGCAGTTTGAGGAGCTAGTCCGCTATTTGATCTATCGCTTGGGATGGTAGGAATTCAACTAGAGTGGCTTGTATCCTAGGGTAGGGTTAGGATTTTTGTTGGAATAGCTAATTGTACTACAAGTTTAGATCACTGCATGGTTGGAAATTGTTCTTTTGTGATGCTTTTCCATTTCTAACCTTACGCGGTTAGTACTTTTGTAACCTTTCTAACTGAAAACAAGCCGCCTGATTTATGAATCTAGTTTTGGTATTTTGCTAATTGTTGAGACATTTGTATTGCTTAAAAAAAATGCTATGACTACTTAGTATACTATCGACCAAGAAATTTCATAATATAACTTAGAAATCTGCAAGATCTTAAGAACAAATTACACAAAGATACAACTCAAACATACTCATCATGACTACAAAGTACAAACAACTTAAACGTGTTTTCCGAATGTTTAGGACGATGGCCCCACGAAAGAGTCCACGAGTTCGTCCCCCACCAACTCCCCGAGACAATCGAAGAGGTACACCAGTGGTAATTCAAACTCCGGAAGGAACTCCATATGAAACCCCACCGGTCATCAATAACTCAAACCCACCGTTCCAAATGGATCCCACCTTGATGCAAACCCTACTTGCGCAAGGAATTGCTATGGCCATAACCGCATATGAGGCTGCTCGGAATGACAACTCGGGAAACATTAGAAATGGTGGTGGCACTCCAATTGTGAACCAAAACAATTTCAGGCCTTGCTCATACAAGGACTTCATGGGCTGCAAACCCCGACCATTCTACGCCACGGAAGGAGCTGTTGGTCTAACCCGCTGGATTGAAAAGATGGAGGCAGTGTTTCGTATCAGTGCTTGCACCGAGGACTGCCGTGTGAAGTATGCTACCTGTACACCGATGGATTCTACCCTAACTTGGTGGAATAACCATGCTAAGTCCATGGGGATCGATGAAGCTTATGCAATGGGTTGGGAACCCCTGAAACAAATGATGATAAAGGAGTATTGTCCCCGACAAGAAGTCCAGGCTCTGGAGCAGGAACTCTGGAATCTCACCATGAAAGGATCGGAAGTGGCTTCCTACACTTCTCGGTTTAACGACCTTGAAAGTCTCTGTCCAGGAATGGTAACCCCAGAAGATAAGAAGATTGAGAGGTACATTTGGGGATTGGTGTCACCAGTCCAAGGTCTGGTGACCGCATCTAGACCCTCTACATTTTATAGCGCTAAGAAATTTGCCTATCAGTTGACTGAACGGTGTATCCATCAGGGTAACATGGCTCCACAAGCAAAACAGAATCAGGGAACAAAGCGAAAACTTCAGGGAAAGTCAAAGGGAAACCCCAAGCATCACAAACCCAACTCAGAGCCTACTGTTGTCTATGCCGCAATCACGAACACTCCCACCCCATCCAAGCCCTACAGTGGAACCCTGCCCCGCTGTACCAAATGCAACTTTCATCATGTAGGAAATTGCAGGGATATAACTTGCAACAACTGTGGTGCGAAAGGACACATCGCAAGGTATTGTAAAAAGACACCAAACACAACGACCACAACCACCATTGCGGGAGGAAGACGCAACTGCTTCGAATGCAACCAACCAGGACACTTTAAGAAGAACTGTCCAAAATTGAAGAATCAGGGGGGCAAAGGAAGAGCATTTGTGATCACTGCAGGAGATGCTTGCCAGGAACCAACCGTGGTTACTGGTACGTTTCCTATCAACAACGTTTATGCTTCTGTATTGTTTGATACTGGTGCCGATAAGAGTTTCATTAACCATAAGTTTAGAAGCATGCTAAACCATAAATCCTGCAAACTTAATGAGGCTTACACGGTAGAAATGGCGAATGGCCAAATAGAAAGTACCTTAGAAATACTTACAAATTGCCTTCTCACCTTGAATAACCACACCTTTCACGTCAACTTAATACCTATGACCATTGGAAGTTTCGATGTGATTATCGGAATGGACTGGTTATCATCTCATCGAGCAGAAGTATTATGCTATGAGAAAGCCGTCCGACTGCCCCTACCCAACAATGAAGCTATTGTGATTTACGGAGATAAATCAGGAAAGAATTTAAGAGTTATATCTTGCATAAAGGCAAGAAAGTGCTTGCAGAAGAGATGCTTCGCTTTCTTGGCCCACATGGTGGATATGCAAGGAAAAGGCAAAGAAATCAAAGATATCCCACAAGTGTGCGACTGCCTGGATGTATTTCCGGAGGACTTACCTGGACTACCCCCAGTCAGGCAGGTTGAATTCCGAATCGACTTAATCCCGGGTGCAGCACCAGTGGCAAGATCTCCTTATTGCCTAGCACCATCGGAAATGCAAGAATTATCCAGTCAACTTCAGGAACTAATCGAAAAAGGCTTTATTCGGCCAAGCTTTTCACCTTGGGGAGCTCCGGTATTGTTTGTCAAAAAGAAAGATGGGTCGTTCAGGATGTGTATCGACTATCGAGAGCTGAACAAACTCACCGTAAAAAATCGATACCCCCTCCCGAGGATCGATGACTTGTTTGACCAACTGCAAGGATCTTGCTACTACTCGAAGATTGATCTGAGATATGGTTATCATCAACTAAGAATCCAAGAAGAAGACATTCCAAAGACGGCATTCAAAACTCGGTACGGTCACTACGAGTTCCTGGTTATGCCCTTCGGCCTAACCAACGCACCAGCGGTGTTCATGGATCTTATGAATCGAGTGTGCAAACCCTATCTCGATAAATTCGTGATCGTCTTTATCGATGATATTTTAATATACTCGCGAACAAAGGTAGAACATGGCCAACACTTGAGATTGATTCTGGAACTACTAAGGAAGGAGAAGCTTTATGCAAAGCTCTCAAAATGTGAATTCTGGATGAACGAAGTGCATTTCCTCGGTCATGTAGTCAGCAACAAGGGGATACATGTTGACCATGCGAAGGTTGAAGCGATTAGGGATTGGAAAGCACCAACAATGCCAACCGAAATACGCCAATTCCTAGGGCTCGCAGGCTATTATCGGAGATTCATCGAGAACTTCTCTAGAATAGCCAAACCTCTCACCACTCTAACCCAAAAGGATAGGAAATTCGAATGGGGAGACAGCCAGAAGTCTGTTTTCCAAAGGTTGAAACAATCGTTGTGTAGTGCACCGATTCTATCACTCCCAGAGGGAACGGAGGACTTTGTAGTATTCTGCGACGCTTCTCATCAAGGATTAGGTTGCGTACTAATGAAAAAAGATAAGGTTATTGCATACGCGTCTAGACAGCTTAAGCCCAATGAGATGAACTACACAACCCATGATCTGGAATTGGGAGCTGTAGTGTTTGCCTTAAAGATTTGGAGGCACTACCTATACGGAACGAAGTGCGTTGTCTTCACCGATCACAAAAGCCTCCAACACATCTTCGATCAGAAAGAGCTCAACATGAGACAACGAAGGTGGGTAGAACTGCTAAATGATTACGAATGCGAGATTCGTTATCACCCTGGCAAAGCAAATGTCGTAGCAGATGCTTTAAGCAGGAAAGAACGAGCAAAACCACATCGCGTAAAGGCTCTAACCCTAACAATCCACTCTAATCTCAGCGCCCAGATTCGAGACGCCCAACTAGAAGCCCTCAAACCCGAAAATATTGCAGAAGAAAACCTACGGGGTATGGTAAGCAGTTCGACGTCAAGGAAGACGGAACGCGATATTTCATGAACCGAATTTGGACCCCTAGGTTTGGTGAAGTCAGGAACCTGGTTTTAAACGAAGCTCATAAGTCAAGATATTCGATACATCCCGGATCAGACAAGATGTATATCGATCTTAAGAGGCTATATTGGTGGCCTAACATGAAGGCAGAGATTACCATGTATGTCGGTAGATGCCTGACTTGTGCCAAGGTCAAAGCAGAATACCAAAAACCATCAGGATTGCTACAACAACCATCGACTCCGGAATGGAAATGGGAACAAATAGCAATGGACTTCATAATGAAATTGCCAAAGACTTCGAGCGGTCATGACACCATTTGGGTTGTGGTTGACCATTTGACCGAGTCTACCCATTTCCTAGCCATTAAAGAAACCGACAAGATGGAGAAACTCACTAGAACCTATATCAAGGAAATAGTCAGGTTGCACGGAGTACCAATATCTATTATCTCGGACCGAGATAGTAGATTCACTTCTAGATTCTGGCAAACCCTGCAGAGGGCTTTAGGCACCAAACTCGACATGAGTACTGCGTATCATCCTCAGACAGATGGACAGAGTGAGAGGACGATACAAACCTTGGAGGACATGCTCCGCGCCTGTGTGATAGACTTTGATAATGCATGGGATGTCCACTTACCACTAGTTGAATTTTCATATAATAATAGTTATCACACTAGCATTCAGGCTCCGCCATTCGAGGCTTTGTACGGGCGCAAATGTTGTTCTCCACTATGCTGGGCAGAAATTGGCGATACACAACTGGCTGGAAAGCACGTGGGACATACTTTACGTACTAGCCCTGAAATCATTCAAGAAACCACCGAAAAGATTTTTCAGATCAGGGAAAGGTTAAAGGCCGCACGTAGTCGTCATAAAAGCTATGCTGACGTGAGACGTAAACCCCTTGAATTCGAAGTAGGTGACCGTGTACTACTGAAATTCATGCCATGGAAAGGTGTCATTAGATTTGGGAAAAGAGGCAAACTGAACCCTCGATACATCGGACCTTTTGAAATCCTGGCAAGGGTTGGTCCAGTGGCTTATAAGCTCAAACTACCACAAGAACTCAACAAAGTCCATGATACTTTCCACGTATGCAACCTCAAAAATGTCTCTCTGATGAGAACCTTGTGATTCCTCTTGAGGAGATACAACTCAACACTAAACTTCACTTCGTAGAAGAACCAATAGAGATCATGGATAGAGAAATCAAACGCCTCAAGCAAAGCCACAAACCTATAGTTAAAGTCCGATGGAACTCACGAAGAGGCCCAGAG